GGTTTTTCGAGATTTTTTGCATTTTATGATACTCTAATTGAAAAAATAAGGACATATTCGGAATCAGCGTAAAAAACTGATTCGGCTGAGGGCCTTTTTAGATTTTAAGAATTACTCTATAGCAGTAAACGAGAACAAAAAAGAAGTGCAGCGCGGTACCAAACTAGCACTACCATTTAATTTACGATTGAATCCAAACATATCTACAATAAAACGAAATGACCTCGAATAAAAAAGACAAAATGAGTTTGAAATCGAAAAATCAATATTTATTTGTAGGCAGAAGAGCAAGAGCGATATTAAGCTTAGAGAGATGCTTGGTCGAATACTGCTTTCCGAACATGTCTTTAGTTCTAACTCGTTAAAAAAGTTGGGGAAATATCAAGGGGGTAAAAGCAACACTTCGCCACTTCACTTCACTGCTGAAACGGCGCCCCCGATGGGGGGAAGCAAGGGGGAGAAAGTACCATTTCATCACTTGCGCTTAACTTGTTTCGACCGTTTCAGCAGCGTTTTACCTAGGTGAAGTGAAGTGAAATGAAGTGGTGCTTTTACCCTGTTGGGAAATATGCCCGCAGTGACTTGACCTTAAAACTGAAATACTTTAGTTTTATTCTCATAACCTTGAATGCCGAAATTTTTCTTTCTTTTCTTTTATCATGTTAGAAATGTTTTATTTTTGACTTTACGTGCATTAAATATACAAGCACAGTAGTAAACAAAAATATATGCGTTCTCTTTTTATTACTCATGTGATGATATGGTTATGTCATTATTATTTTCACGTTCTACGCAAAAGAACAAACACGAAGGATGATTAGAAAAACAAGAGTAAAATCTGTACATTACCAACTTTTACGGGCTCACTTACACCAAATCGAGCAGCATTGGACACACCAGACTAAAAAATGACATTAAATAATAGTAATATAATAATCCGTTCATTTCAACCAGATGATATTTTGCAATGTCGAAATATCATATTGAGTGTATTTCGTGGTTATGGTCATACAGATGATTATGCGCAGAATGCCATTGCTACCGATATGGATGATATTAAAAAGAATTATTTAGATGTGAAGGGTGGACATTGGTGGGTGGCTTTAGTTGATGACCAAATAGCTGGACAAGTAGGTGTTCAACCACTAGCTCTGGGGGATCCAGAATGTTATCAGGAAGAGTCGGTCACTCCTCATTACTCACATATTCATGCTGATCAGATATGTGAATTGCGTCGATTGGGCGTTCTGTCGAAATATCAGAAGCAGCGTATTGGTTTTAAACTGTTGCAGACACTAATTGGATTTGCACAATTAAACGAATATAAAGCGATTCATTTGACAACATTAGCACAGATGAGGTCAGCTTGTAATTTCTATGAAAGATGTGGATTCATTAGTGGAAAAGTGGAACAACATGATATAAGTCTCATTGAGCAAAACAAAATCATATCTGTGAAATTCGCAACTTTTGAAGAACCATCATTATTGACCAACGATGATCATCGTTTGATTCAGTTACCAATACAAGAGACACATAAACTATATGTGCAGCACTATTGGATGCTGATTTGAATAACAATACTTGAACACATTCAATAAATCGACTACTGTGGAAGAGAAGTGTAATAAATCAAGCATGAAAGAATAGCGAAAAATTGAAAAAATGTGAAGTGTCTAAATTTCAATCCTTGAGATTAAAAATATGAAAAAATGTGAAGTGTCTAAATTTCAATCCTTGAGATTAAAAATATTCGAAGGAGGTTCGTCGATAAGAGACAAAATCGGCCCCCTCACATATAAGTCTTATATTCACGGATCTGATGTAGCTTTTGTCCGCGATTAAATCTAACATATTCTTAGACCTTAGAACCCCTTTTCATATGGAGTCGAAATAGATTTGGCTGGAGTTTTTTTGCAGACGAGTTGAAGAAAAATCTTTTTTGCAAGTTACTTATTAGCATAAGGACATGACTAATTCGAAAATATCTCTGCTCAGGTCTTTTC